AGCTGGGGATAATCTTGAGATGAAATAAGCTGGGGATAATCTTGAGATGAAATAAGCTGGGGATAATCTTGAGATGAAATAAGCTGGGGATAATCTTGAGATGAAATAAGCTGGGGATAATCTTGAGATGAAATAAACTGGGGATAATCTTCAGGTGATCGGATATTTATAAAAGTTATAAGTTTTGGCAACATTCCGAGGCGAACAGAAGTTAACTAACACAGAGATGACGTGAGAGAATTAAACAAAAAGCTGAATATTATACTTTTAAGGAAATTGAAGGTCTGTGTTATTTATAGATCATTAACCACAAAACCAATAGACTGAGGAGACTTGCTCAAGGTCATTAAACGAGATTAACGAATAATAAATGCGATAACAATTTGCAGTCTTAACGAATTTAACGAGAATAACTGTCATTTCAAAGTGTCTTTACCGAAAATGACGGACTTTATTAATATAACCGTTATTGAACTGCAACGGTTTTAACGGAAAAATAACGAATTTAACGAATATAGAAGTTGACGTAAGTAACGGTGATTGAACTGTAACGGTCAACGGAAAATAATAACAAATATGACCGTATATATTTGGAGTGTTTCTAACGGAAAATAACCGAACTTAACGAAAATAACCGTGAGTGAAGAAAACGGTTATTTGAACGAGAAATACGAGAAACAATGTAAAATAACCAGAAATGGTAGTTAAGAGCGCTGACGATAGATGGCGTGGAGTTGAACCCTGGCAGCAGATGTGTACAGTTATTAACAGGTGTGTAAAGTAGGACAGCAGTTGTGTGCGGCTAATGTCTCCAGCAGGTGTGTAAATATAAACTATACAGGTGATGTGTGTGTTTAGCAGGTGTGTACTGCTTATATCTGTAGCAGGTGTGTAGATTGAACTATATGGCTGTGGTTGGTATAGCAGGTGTGTACACTCTTACTCCGTCCTCCCATTTGTTTCACCTCTCACACACATACACACACACACGCACACGCACACACACACACACACACACACACACGCACACACACACACACACACAAACACACACACACACGCACACACACACACACACACACACACACACACACACACACACACACACACACACACACACACACAGACAGTATTAAAAAATTATGTTTGTATGTTTGTTTTTGGTTACAGATCCGACATCGGTAACCGTAGCTGAACTTAACTATATAACATGTACTGTATGTAAAGCTTATGATGTGTGAGGAACTAGGAGAACACCACCATACAGTACAGACCTTTATTTTCCCATTTAGTTATGTTATACTCCTCAAGGTTGCAAGTTTATGGTGGTGGTGATTGGTAGTTTATGGTGGTTGGTGGTGGTGATTGGTAGTTTATGGTGGTTGGTGGTGGTGATTGGTAGTTTATGGTGGTTGGTGGTGGTGATTGGTAGTTTATGGTGGTTGGTGGTGGTGAGTTGTTTACGTATCGGGTTGTTTGCTTTGTAGATAAACACAAATTCGTTATCATTATATTAATTACCTCCTGAAAGCCAAATCAGGTTCGTTCATTGTCTTGACTTAAACAAGACAAAGTATCATATGACTGAACACATGAAGGAGGTACTCGGTGCTGCTGGTGTGTATATGGAGTTTGTTTAGGTCAGTTAGTGCCGGTGTGCTAGCCTGTGTTCCTCCGGGGTGTGTGTGTGTGTAAAGTAGCGTGTGTCCGTCCGTGGTGAGTGAGTGTGTGTGACTGTCTCGGCGACTCTCACTTCCGGGTTGGTGGTGACGAGAGAGGAAGGAGGAGACGTCCATCACTTAAAGTTGCTACTACTTTTGCGTGTTGTCCCATTACACTCACTGAGACTTGGGATCCCCAGTGTGTGTGTGTGTGTGTGTGTCATGGTGTTACTCAAGCGCCTGGATACCCTCCTTGCTCAACACTCCTTACACTAGTTTCCTGTTCGTTATCAAGGTCGTGTGCCGGCCGGTCAGTCGGTTGGGGTAACACTAACCATTACCTCGTGAAGGACAGTTACATTGACCGTCCAGTTTTACGTAGTTAAGTTTCCTGTAGAAATTATTTAACCATTAAAATATTTGATGAATTGACAAGAAGGGAAAAAATGTTGGCGGTGACAGTTATTTTTAGAGCTTCTTAGAATTGAAAGTTGTAAGAAACTGACTTACTGTATGTAAAGAAGATAACACGAGCGCCCTTTGTGTTTTTACCACCATTAGGGCAGGTCAGGTTAGGTTAGGTTAGGTTAGGTTAGGGCAGGTCAGGTTAGGTTAGGTTGATCTTTAGGTGAAATAAGCTGGGGTGGAGATAACTCAAGTGATCCGGAATGCCTTTGATGTGTTTATAAGTTGTTCGTGTTGTGGTTTGAATGTTTGTGGTTGTTACTTTGTTATTTTTCAGTCCAGTTGGGATACAAACATGACCCAGTACGTCGCCGCTGTCAGTCAACTTGAATCTGGTTCTTGGCTTTGCTGGCTGTTGATTGATAGTGTGATGAGTGAGGAGGCGTGGCGGCGCATGTCTTCTCTCACAACCTTATGAGTACACGAAGGAAGCAACAGCTGGTTCACTCTTATCTTGGTACAGCTATAGTCGGTCATGTAGGCTGAAGAACATGTTGTATACGCTCTAGGCGCGTCCGTCTGGCTTATGGTAGTTTCAAGTCAAGAATATCCTGTGGTTCCTGTCCTGGATGGTTTATTAAGTAATTCCTGGAGTAAACGAGTCTTAGTGCACTGTAGGGGGAGGAGGGGGGGGGTCATAGAGGAGGAGGTCAGGAACAACAAGTAGCAGTATGGAAAGAATCACTTATCTGACCTTCCTTTCACTTACCTGTCTTGCCACACTCACCTTGTCCTGCCTCTCACTCACCTGCCCTGCCTCTCACTCACCTTGTCCTGCCTCTCACTCACCTGCCCTGCCTCTCACTCACCTTGTCCTGCCTCTCACTCACCTGCCCTGCCTCTCACTCACCTGCCCTGCCTCTCACTCACCTGCTCTACCTCACTCATCTGTGCTTCCACACTCACACACACATTAATCTGTATGTTCACTGTATGTTCCTTTACCTTTCTCTAATGAAGGCTTTTGTTAAACCACCAATGTATGTAATAAGTCATATATGTCCAATGTATATTTTCAGCCTTCGGGCTGCAGAATTTTTTCAAAAACCGTTAATTATTATTATTATTTTATCACACACACACACACATCTGCCCTACCAAACACACACTCACTCACCCTGACACCTTGGCTTGGCTTTACCTTGACTTGCTTTACTCTCTCGTCTGTTGCTTTACTTTCAGCTTGCACCACCACCACCACCACCACCACCACCATTGATGTAATTTGCTTGGCTTGACTGTTATCACGGCCACTCCGGGATGTTCCCCGATACTGGTAACCTTTTAAGAAGTGGCTCCTCGTGTAACAACCCCGCCTTTGGTATTTTAATTATTTTATATTTTTTTTCTGGCCACCGTGTAGGAATAAAAGCTTGTTTGGGCTACAGTAGTGATGTGGGTATATAGTTTTAAGGTCACCTGAAAATTAAGACACCCTAGCATATTTTATCTAATGCTTATCGTAACTTAACTTAACCCAATTCTAACCTAACCTTACCTTACCTTACCTTACCCTACCCTACCCCTTCAGGTAGCATAAGAATATTTAATCACCAGGTGAAATAATCTGGAGGGGGGGGGAGGTAATTTTCAGGTGATCCATGATAATTTATTACAAACAGGTACTGTAGGTGCAACATTCAGTATGCACAGTGCCCTTGATAAGTACATGAGTGTTGGGGTAAGTAGTACATCCGGTGTGTTTTCAGGATGTGTTACAGAGTGTGGTGTTGCGTTACAGAGTGTGGTGTTGCGTTACAGAGTGTGGTGTTGTGTTACAGAGTGTGGTGTTGTGTGGGGAAATATTGAGATCAATCCTTGGCTCAGTAATCACAACGGTTACTTGAAAGATGCCGGTGTTGTGTCCTGTGGCAGCTGTATTAAGTGTATTGGAGACGAGGATGAATGAGGTGGAGGCTAGGATGAATGAGGTGGAGGCTAGGATGAATGAGGTGGAGGCTAGGATGAATGAGGTGGAGGCTAGGATGAGTGTGGTGGAGGCTAAGATGAGTGTGGTGGAGGCTAGGATGAGTGTGGTGGAAGCTAGGATGAGTGTGGTGGAAGCTAGGATGAGTGTGGTGGAGGCTAACACTATGGTGGAGGCTAAGATCACTGTGGTGGAGGCTAAGATCACTCTGGTGGAGGCTAAGGTCTCTGTGGTGGAGGCTAAGATCACTGTGGTGGAGGCTAAGATCACTGTGGTGGAGGCTAAGGTCTCTGTGGTGGAGGCTAAGATCACTGTGGTGGAAGCGAAGGTTACTGTGGTGGAGGCTAACACTATGGTGGAGGCTAAGATCACTGTGGTGGAGGCTAAGATCACTGTGGTGGAGGCTAAGGTCTCTGTGGTGGAGGCTAAGATCACTGTGGTGGAGGCTAGTATCGGTGTGGTAAGGAGGAGGAGGAGGAACTTGGCACCCCCACCCCCTCCCAGGTTGAGTACTTAGTCCCACTCTGTCAACCCTAGTTACGCAGATCACATTCTCGTACAGAACTAAAACTCGTGAAACACAAACTCCCCCAGAACCATCTACTGTACGCGAAGCCTTTGAGAACCTCGCTCTGGTAATCCCCCACAGAGAAGACTAAGGTACTCAGCGAACTATCTGGTCACCACAAACGTGACTCTTTCTAGTTTAAGATAGGTAACAACTCCATTGAATGTCTCCTCATTTAAATAGCTTGGTGTCTTAATCTCCTTACCTAACCCGCCATTGTATGGATAGAGGAGGTAGTGGTGGTCTTGATGGCGAGGGTTATGGAAGGTGGTAGGGGTGAGGGATAGGGAGGAAGAGGGTGGGGGATGAGACTAGGAGGCAGTGACGTGGGGGATAGGGGAGGGGCAGGCAAAGTGGTTAGTGAGGCTCTGGCTCGTAGCCACACAGTTGACAGTCGACCGCGAGAGCTGGCAGGTGGTGGAGGGCAGAGTGTGACGCTGCAAGCCCACCCATCCCGCCTCGCTCTCTCTCAGTGACGCTACTACACACGCACATTCACTCACTCACTCTCCACACACGCACACACACTCAAGCTCACTCCCTCACACTTACTTCCGCGAGTCAAACGTCTATTGCAGAGCTAAGGAAGAAGACCCACTGGACATAAGAAGCATCGTGAACCTGGGAAACAACAAGTGTGTGTGTGTTAACATTGCTGGAAATCCAAGTTAAAGTGACGCAAATTAAGTGTTTATTACCGCAAGTGTGTTAAGTTAAGCTATTTATTATTTTATATTTATATATATATATATCTATATACCAGTAAATACATATAGTATAAGCTACATTAACTACCGCCGCCCGAGAGTGATCTAAGATAGAAGAAATATCTACGTCGTACTGAACATTGTTGAAGGATATATCAGCCTGCCATACTGCCCATACTCTCAAGCACTACCGGTACACATCTGATCAAGTGTTGTGTATCGTGTCGAAGCGCCAAGAGTGGTGTATGGTGTGCGAGGAGAGTGTCGTGAGGAGTGAGGTGGTGGGAGCTTGGGTGTACCCGGATCTGGCGGGTGTGGGCAGTGTGTCGTGGTGGTGGCCGGGCCGAGACGCTCCACCATGCTCCCTCCTTCCTCACCCTCACCATAACACCATGACCATTGTATCACCTTATTCCTCGGTAAGTCTCTACTCACAACCAATCTCACCTTATCATCCATAACCCATAACTTTATTCCATACAGGTCTTCTCTATAACCTCCCAGTTGTCTCCTATTGGGTGTTATTCTTTGGAGGCGTCACGTGGTATTGTGAATGTTAAATTTCTGTAGTAGTGTTGTTATAGTGTTGTCGGATGTGGCCACTGGGTATAGGGGTTATCGTAGTGGTAGGTATTGGCACGGGTCTAACAGTGGATCCAGGTGTATGTGGCGAGACAGGTGAGAGACGTAGAGAAAGCGACGTTCTCAGTCATATACTGTATATTGATTGGGTGTCCTTGGTCTTCTGTTAATACACACACACGGTCATTGTTCCCACGACCCACCCAACAAGTAGTACGCTTTTGTACTATGATCTGTTGGTGGCCGGGGTAGTGCGTGTAACCTTAGGCTATATTTTTATACAATGAAGAGAGAGAATAGAAACTGGTGTGTGGGAGTGTCAGGCACTGCACCGCTCCAACACACTATAAAAAATCGTGTTTTACTTCCCTTCCTGTTTAGCTTCAGCCTTTTAACTTTTATTACATTTTGTGTTGTCGAATATTTTTTTCATACAGAACACACAAGCAACAAGGGATTATATTATTTTTCACAGCCAGCAGTATGTTAGTGATCTGACGGCTCCACTTTGGTACATCTGCACTTGATATTCTTGACATTAGTGGCTCTTGGAGTCCTGTCTGAAAGTACATGGTTAGTTGGACACATCTTGTGGAGATAGACGACGTCCACGAGTGATCACTGCACTGAGTGAAGTGTTTGTAACTGTAATATCGTTAGAGATGATCCACAGTCACCTCTACAATGCTGTACACTGATGTGATGCTCACCCTAGATAACGTCAATGTGTTCACCTGGCCTCGACCGCCTCACACTCGGGTCTCACGAGGACACCACCTCTGGCCTCGCGGTGGTGGCTCAACACCACATACAACAGGACCTCGTGCAGTGAGATCTCCCTCCAGCAGACAATGTAACTCTGAACCATACGACGGGATTTTCTCCCTGCATACTCTCTCTCTCCTTCACTCGGTTTATCTCAAATGTCTCACTTTCATAGACGTCTCTTTTCATTAAACTTCTTAACACAAAGATTAAACTTTCATATATTCACTTGAGGATGATGTGTGTGTTTACGTCCAGGAACACATGTAAACACCGTCATCATACAGTTCTTGGCCCTCTGATCACCAGTTGGACGAGGTGTGGATGTAGCTTCTAGAACACTATATCTGAGTAACTTGACCACTTGTGAGATCAAAGAAGAGAGGAACTATTTATGGTTCTCTCCTTATCTCTTGTTTATTTACGTTTTTATTTGTTTATGTGTGGGTGTATGATGAGTAAGATTCTTATAAAGGGCATTTTTTAGGTGTTTATGTTATGGGTTCTCAAGTGTGTTCTTGTTTGTGTGTATGTGTGAGTTGTGTTGTTTGTTGAGTGTGATGGTGTATGTGTTGCTTACTGTGTGTGTTAGTTATAGGGTTAGGTTAGGTAGGTGAAGGTGGTGTTCATCTCTACGGCCACCATCACCACCCGGATACCTACTCTAAGGGAAGCACCAAGGATATGCGTCATAACTGCCACCCATCTAACTCTGTGTGTGTGTGTGCGTGTGTGTGTGATAGATAATGATTAATATTACAAGGGATTAGTGTATGCAGACGTTCCAGTGGTGGCGAATAATACAGCTCAAATACAAGAGAAGACGTGAATGTTAAAAGTTTTCCTCCCCAGCGTATCTCACATGATGTTTAAACACGCTAACGCTACCTGGAAGGAGGGTCCTGCTGGCATTAAGGTGAAATAAACTGGGGGTGTCTAATCTTCAGGTGATCCATTAAGAGGTTTAGCTGGTGAGGACACAACAGGATAATGGTACCACACATCACCTTGACCAATTTTCAGTGGGAAAAAAAAATCCTCCTCACTGGGCATTACCTCTGTCTTGCTACCCTCACCTCACACAGTGTTGCAACAGTCGGATTCTTACACACGCAAGAAGAAAAAAAAACCCAATAATGTCTTAACTTTTTTTTTATTAGACAACGTTAACATATTGACTCATATCCTAGTATTTGTCCTGTTGATTTTTTTTGTTTATTGATGATAGAAAATAGTTGTAGTGCAGAGGGGGCAGAGGAGACGGTGACATGGTTGATAAAAGAGTTTACATGGTTGACTGCTTGTCCTGGCCAGTGGGGGGTAAATGATGTCCCTGTAGCTAACAAGTGGCCAAACAAGACACACGGGTAGACGGAGGCAACAGGTTGTGTTTGTGGGTTGTGAATAATAACCTCACATTACTATCACTAATGTGTGTGTGTGGGTGGATGTTCTTAATCTGGCTGTGCTGTTGAATGAAGTCTCCACCATTGCCAACACCTTTTGATTGAAGTGACCGCCGCTGCCTTGCCCACCACCCCTTGAGGATTTGCACCTAATGTGTCTGTACTGGACGGTCTATTGAGTGTGGGTGGCAGGCAGGTCCTTCTCCTACCCCACCTCTCACTGCTACAATTGGCAGGTCGCGCGGTGTGTTCTTGGCTCCTCGACGAACTTGGAGCCAGAGATTGGCGTATAGATAACCCTCTCCTCCTCCTTCAGTTAGAGCAACTTAATGTTATGTCTGTACTGGAGGTGTTGATGGCGGCTTATACACAGGTGTTATCTGGACTCACACCACCTCCTTGTTTACCTGTGATAGGTGTTTATTTGTACACCTCTTAGTTAGTATCGGAGTTCACACGGCCATCTCATAAACTGTTAGAGTAAATTCTCTCTCTCTCTGTTGGCAGGTTCTGTGAAGGTATCTAGGACTGACAGCTACAGGGCGGACCTGGTAATTTAATGGCTCGGGCTTTGTTCGTGTTGTGACGTCACACTGGCGTCAATGGGATGAAAGGTTCCTTGAAATTGGGCAGTTACCAACCAGCTGTGTGCATTATTATTGTTATAGGATCTTGCCTTGGTGGCGGCGGGCTTATTGAGTCCTTTGTGTGTGTGTGTGTGTGTGTGTGTGTTACTGGATTTTTCTAACCTGTGTGTTATGGTGTACAGTAATAGGGCAATGACCCCCCCCCCCTTTCCACACACACACACACCACCCACCTCTGTTTAGTACATCACCTGCTTCCTCACCCACCTGCCACCTCACCTACCTGCCACTTCACCCACCTGCCACCTCACCCACCTGCCATTCACCTGCCACCTCACTCACCTGAACCTAATTTATCCCAGGTGTGTGGTAGTGTGGTGATGTTGGTGTATGTAGTGTGATGGTGGTAAAGGTTAGGTAAGGAGTTGTGATGTCAACATTCAGGTAATCAGCTTTACCTTTGTCATCAACAGGTAATGTGTGACCTAAAAGTACATGTGTGAAGAAGTTGTTTTTTTACAATAAATACAATAATGAGTAGATGGGAGGAATAGAAGGAGAAAGGGGGGAGAAGGAGAGAAAATGGGGTAGAAGGGAAAAAAGGGAGGAGGAAGAGATAATGACAAAAGGTAATGATTCTAGTCAGGTTTCCCCATCATCTTCATCAGTATAATATCTTTAACCTTTATACTGATGCAGATTTTGGCCTTTACCGTAATACTGGTAAAATTGTAAGTCATGGGAAGCCATCAATTTGTCACGGATTTTTGTTGATACCGTGTGTGTGTGTGTGGTGGTAAAGTTGATGTAGGGTACCCGCGACACAGGTTGCCATTCTTGACGTCAGAGAACCGGTCTTGGAGGCAGGTGAAGCTGAGACCTTGTGAGGAACTTAACCAACGCGTGATACATCCCCTCCCCACACTCGTCATTGCTCACGTCTCTAATAATAATAGACGTGGCCATGGTGGTAACGTCACAAAAGGAGACAAAAAGGAAATTGTACCTTAGGAAGTCCGGCTCAACTCCCTTAGTAGGTAGCGCGTGATGTCGTAGGGTGAACCCCCAGTAAAAAGACAACAATAGCGGACGAGCGGCGGTCTGGCCTTCCTCTGACGTCATCTGTCCTCCCTCCCTCCCTCCCTCCCTCCCTCCCTCTCCTCCCTCCCTCCCTCCCTCCCTCCCTCCCTCCCTCTTCTTTTCCTCCACGTATGCTGTATTTCTTGAGTTGTCTGTAATGTAAGGTTACTGTTCTGTGTGTCTGGTGTGGTGGACAGGTGTGTGTATGTGTGGTGGACAGGTGTGTGTGTGTGTGGTGGACAGGTGTGTGTATGTGTGGTGGACAGGTGTGTGTATGTGTGGTGGACAGGTGGATCAGGAGTGTGGTTGGACAGAGAGAGAGAGAGAGAGAGAGACCAGGTAAGTATACGTCATAGTGGCGGTGTAACCATGGCGAGTAACGAGGTCCTGTACTGCCACCCTATCACCTTTCCTCTCTCCCTGCTACTGTACTCCTCCCTCCCTCTCTCTGCGTCACAATACCCCCTCCCCCACACTCACTCTATCCTGGCGTGTGGGGAATTACTGAGGCGCTTATTTACATTGCGTTGTCAAGTGTCTGGTGTGAGATGAAACTGTAATGGGAAGGGGGGGGGGGTGTAGGGAGGGAGGGTTGTTCGACGTCACAGTTTTAGCGGTAGATACACTAGAATGAATTCCTGACCGTGTGCGCACCTGTGAACTAGTTACCCCAGTGGCGGTGTGGAAGTTGCAGGCTTGGAAAACAAAAATCATTCGTATGTGATATAATAAAACATTTCATGAATATCAATAATATATTGGTAGTGGGTGATGCACAGGAGTCCGGGTACCTGGGAGAACAGGTGGTGAACATCAGATCTGAAATTTGTTGTTTTCTACTGGTGGCGACAGAGAAGCTATTAAGTGTCCAGGAGTCGGTCGGCTGGCCCTTCACTTTCTTGAAGTCGTAGGTGAGGAAGGTAGTGGGTGGCTGAGGTGTTCAATGCCAACAACTGATGTGGCACTGAACACAGGTTGGAAGTTTGAACAGGATGTAGGGCCTCACTCGTGTACCTGTCAGTATACATTTGGTAAGTGGATGGAAGCGTCTTTATTGCTGGTACCTTGTATATATACAGTACAGTACACTCTTTTTTGTGTATTACATTGTATATGTTCGACTGGTGTTGCATCATGGCTCCCACGTGTGTTGTTGTTTTAAGTTGTTATAATTCTCGACGAAAACATTTACAACAGAAAACGGACTGAACTATAAGAGTGATGCTGGTATCGTGAAAGTGAACGTAGTCGTGACGTTTGAGTGACGTAGCAGTGACGCAAGCACTTTCACTCCCTTCTACGGTAGGCAGTAAGCTCTGCGCCAGGTCCCAAACGCCAGTGGCTCTCGAATTTACCTTTATATTGTGTGTGGAGCAGTAACTCCGTGGTTCCCAAAGACCAGACAACATCAACACTGTGCCGGAAATTACTGTGATAGCTGGGCTTGATAGGGACCAGGGGGCTCGGGTGGTGGGAGTGTATCAGGAGACAAACGCCGTCAGGAGTAGGAGAGCTGCCTCGTGCACGGTGTTCGCTGCCACCGCCAGTGTTGTATAGGTGACTTAGTTGTGGTGGTCTAGTGAAAAGTCTCACCTAACCTGGCGAAGGTGAGGGTCCCGCTACCCAGGTTATGTTAATAGTGTGTGAGGGAGGTATCGGCATAGCGCGTGTTGTCTGGTGTACTTCACACTTTACCTGGACATCCTCTACAGGTGTGTGTGTGTGAACTGATTATACCTGAGGACTTCTTAGTGTATCTTGTGTTGTGTTCCTGGAGTGTCTCGCCTTACTTTCTCTTTCACAAGAACGTGAATTGTTTATGTCAAAATATTAATGAATTTTGTGTAATTTAATTTTTGTCGTCAACTATTGATATTATTGTGTGATGCATATTGACATTATCTCAGTGTGTGGTGTGTCAGGTTACTGTTATATGGCTCTAATAAAAGCTTGTTTATTTCAGGATGTGGTGTCAGTGGTGGTGGGTGAGCGCGGGGTAGTGGGCGGGTGTCTACTGACCGCTATGTCCGGGGTGGACGCACCACCAGAGGCTGCCCCTTCACCGCCGCCCTCGCCACCCCACCCCGCCCACCCGCCCACCGACAAGCACAACTATGACCCCAGCATTGGGAGTGAAGGCGTGCCGGGGACGGTGGGCCGAGGCCGACGGAAGCTGGAGAATGAGGACAGCAGCTACGACAGCGACTTCGAACCCAGTGAGCGCCCTGACGATGACCAGCACGAGGACGTGTGTCGCACCGTGTCTGATACTCTGTGTGCAGAGTTCGCCGAGTACGTCACCATGCACAGTCCACCTATCACCACCACCACCACCACTACTGCTACCACCTCCTCCGCCACTACCGCCGCCACCACCACACCCACCTCAACCACCCTCACCTCCACCCTCCCTGTCTCCACGAACCTCACCACAGTATCATCCACTACAGCTTCGGTCACCACAGCGTCGTCATCCACCACATCTTCCCTCACCACAGCCTCAGTCACCACAGCAACCACAGCCTCAGTAACTACAGCCTCAGTCACCACAGCCACAGCGACTACAGTATCAACAAGCACATCATCTACAGGTTGTGAAGGCAAGACAGCCCAGGAGGCCGTGAGATCCTTGTTACCTCCAGTGTCGTCAGCTGCTCCCGTGCCGCCCTCAGTGTCCGTGACCCCTCCTGCCCCAGCCACCACAGTAACGCTAACACAGCCTCCCCATACGGCTATCACAGCAACCAGGAGCGTAGCGGCGACCAACAGTAGTGGTGTGCAGGAGAGCGGTCACGCCCCATTGTGTCCTCCTTCAGGTGAGCAGAAGCAGCAGCAGGGGACGGGTGTGTCATGGGTGGTACAGCGACCCAGTTACGCCTCGCAGGTCGAGTTCGGAGTCAAACTGGGATACTCGGAGGCTCTGGTGCAGATGGCCCTCGTCAAGCTGGGAGGAACACCAGACAAGGACGAACTACTAGCCGAACTCATCCGTTTGGGGACAAGTGTACCGCGACCTGAAGGAGAGGGAGACTCAACCGACGACGTAACGGACACCAAGGAAGAGGTGGAACAGCAGTCGACCCTCAAACCTATCATCATCGACGGCAGCAATGTAGCCATGAGGTAAGGCACCCATTACTCCCAGACACTCCTCACCCTGAGTTTACAACCAGCTTATGTTCTTTCATCTCCTTCCTAATACTGCACACACAGTAGAGGCGTGGATGAGTAAAATGGCCGTAATGAACTCCCTTCTTGCTGTAAAAGTATTGTTCCTGATTTTCATGTGTCGGGTTTATTGTGTCTCGACGGAAGGAGTGTTTTTTAGAAGATTTTTTGCTGTAAACACGAAAAATAATTGGCATTGTTGTGTCACTGTCAACCATTATTCTTTTTTTGAGACGGATACACCCTAGTGATGACTTGCTGGGGGCGAGTTATATTTGAGGTAAACTCACTCTCTTTCTCTCTGGACTTATGATGGAAATAATGGCACAAAAAAATACTCAGTACAAAATACAGGCCACAGTGGGTCGATATTATTGCCTAAAACATCATATATTAGTAAGGTACAGTAAGTACAGGAGAGGCAATTTAAACACAATAGATACTTGATAAATGTTGATATATATTCATGCCTCTTAATTATATACAGTATATATATATCACATATATGACTGTCGGTACATTATCACAGCCTCCCTCCCCCCAAAACATTTTGTGCAGGAATAAACAGTCTGAGGAACTGTAAACACGAGAATACTGTTGTCATGAGTCTTAAACAACAATAAATCTTTGAAATAATATTAAATTAACCTCGATGTGTGAAAACCTTAGGATGACGCTGTTTCATTCAGACAATGTAGCGGTGGCTGGTGCGTCCTTCACAGTTTGTTGACACCTTGTTTCTGTTTGTGATGGTTCATAGTCATGTGTGGTTGGCTCGTATAACCCACAACTTCGGCTCTCTGCCCCGGGTGTTCATTCTTCCTCACCTGACTACCTTCTCATCGTCCACACTTCCTCCTCCAGTACTTGTTTGCATGTAAGACTTGTGGGTGGTGGTGGGGAGGAGGGGGGACTCATATTGTGTACACGGGGCGAGTTGTCTGTGTTGGGTGTAGCGAGACCTCCACTGAGACATACCCAGTCAAGGCAGTCAGTCGATCACGCCTCTCAGGAATGATCGCCGTGTCAAACCTCCGGAGGAAGAGTCATGTGATAGGAGGGTTGTTCACTACGTTAACTGTGACAAGGGTTTATACCATCCTTGCTTAGGAAGATAATTGTCCCGAGGTCTTTATTTTGCCCGACTTATGGCCACACTTCCACACCTACACCTTTATTCTCATTACTCACAATTCACATCTATATTCTTCCCTAGGTACACTTGCTTTTTTCTATAGTCATAACCACGGCAGATACCATCATTGGTCCACGTGTGAGAGTGACTGTGGGTGTTGTATATTGTGATGTGTGGTTGTAGAGTGGCATGGTGTGGTACGTCTTCCCTGGAGTATGAGGTTGTGGGTTGTGATGAACGGCCAGGGATCGGCCTCGTCCAGGCAATGTTTGCTTTATAAATTGCTTCGTCACAGCTTCCCGGATCTTGCAGAGCCACCTGGTGCTCTGGCGTCAACCTCTTCCCCTCCCTCCCTCCCTCCCTCATCTCTCCCGACCCTCCCTCATCTCTCCCGACCCCCCCCCCCCTTTCACCCTCCCTAATCTCCACCAGGCACCCTCCCTCAACACGTGCGAGGGAGGAGGTAGAGAGTGTAATGTGCAGGCGGTGTGGTAACATACACCGACCTGCCTCCACGTATGGCCTCCTTTCTTGCAAATTTCAATCACAGGGATGTTTCTATAACTGTACAATTACTTGTATTCATTAGCGTGGTGCGGATGTTTAACAAATAGATTATCTTTGATACTTGTGCTGTCCTCGGCTACCGCCAGACAATAACTTGGTGGTGACGAGACAACTTATCTGAAGAATTAACACACGAGGTTGTGTAATGGGGATCTCATTAAAACACGTCATTGTCGGTAATTGGGGGGAGGAAGGTTTGATGGTACCCAGAGTTACTGATACCGTGTGTTTGTGCGTGTGTGCATGCTTCCGTTAGTACACACCAACCTACCTTCGAAACATACTCCGCTTTAAGTGGGTGCTGTAAGAATTTAATAAATATGTCCTCGTGTAAATGGACATTGTGTAATATCAGAGCGAGAAGACCTGTACAATAGGCGGTTAGGTGTTGTAATGCAAGGCAACACTCGCTGCCTCCCTGCCAGATTATCGCCGCATATTTTCCTTCCTCGGGATGAAGGCACAGTATTACAACTTATCACTTGGCAGACAGTGGTGGGTGTGCTGTGTCCTCTCCTGTCTGTTGTTGTCATTTTACCTTAACCTAACTGAACTTAACTCTTCCTTAACCTAACTTAATCTACTAACCTAACCTAACCTTATACAGTACCAGTGGTCATAACTAATCTCCAAGTATTTGATGTTAGATACTGTGACTAAAATTGGCTTGAGATATACACATGTGCTCTTATCCTCCTCTCCCACCCTGAGCTTAGAGGGAGGGAGGGAGGGGCGGGGTGTTTTGGTCATCATGTGCAGGCATGCTGGCCAAGGCCCCTACCTCAAACCCCGCAAAGAATTCACTCCTCGTCTCCTCCCTTGCTTTTCGTCGCATTTATTTGTACTTTTTGTTTGTGCCGTAGACGACCCAGTCAAGACTTCACAGTACACACACTCGTACTCTACGAGCTGTCTCAGCCTCACCAGTTCTCCCTCAGTATTTTAAAATAAATTTTTTCTTGTTTTTAAAAATTACACGCTCTGAAAAAATGACTATGATGTTGATATGTGTAATAATAATAATAATAATAATAATAATAATAATAATAATAATAATAATCGGTTTATTAATAGAGTTGCAGCCGGTGGCTGAAAATATACAGACGTGTGTGTGTGTGTGTGTGTGTGTGTGTGTGTGTGTGTGTGTGTGTGTGTGTGTGTGTGCGTGTGCGTGCGTGCTGATAACTTCAATATCCGGGAGCTGTTATTCTCACTCACTGGATCTGACATACAGGAATTTTACTATTATTACTACCACGTTCCTTCCCCTGTTAGTCTATAGTCAGATAGCAAAGGTCTATTAGCCGGGTGCTGTTATTAGGCTTATATTGCCTTACCCACGTCAAGGTTATCGTCAGGACCTGTTGAGTTCTCCTCGTGAGTACAGAACCTGAGAAGCCAGATCACCTGTAATAACGTCCAACATGGCGTCAATATTTCACCGAGACTCGTAGTATATAGAATTTCAGTGCAGTATTTAAGAGGACCATAATTATTAATGCTAATAATTGTACGTCAGAGGTGAGGTGAGGTGAGATTGCAGGTGTAAGGTGAGGTTGGAGGTGTCATGTGAAGCGAGGTGAAGACGAGGCCCCCAGCAGGATATGATTAAGACTGGGAATTTTAGTATCCTGGTTAGCGGTGATAAGCATAGATAGTGTGTATGATTATATACAGTAGGTGGTGAGCCGGACACAACTGAGAGGACGTGGTGTCGGTCATGGCAATTTTCCACCCTCACTATATCATCTGGCAGACCTGGAGAAGTTTTATGTGTTTTTTTAAGGAATATTGTTTAGTGTCATTATCTTAGAACTTATGTGTTTAAGGTTGTGTAATTCAAGCATAAATATGTATTTTGAGTCGGCTTGACCTAGATAATCTTTGAGAGGAATGAACATGAGAATAGTTGACTGGTGTATGTATAGCCGGAGTTAGACTGGTAGTAACAGTAGAATGTTGGGTGTGATCATCTTTCTCATCTCAGGATAATTTTATTCCCCAGTTGATCGTTTAATTTTATTAGTTTTCTCATCATTTTTAACTTATTTTTCCCTGATTTGGAGGTTAAATAAAATCCAGGTTAAAAAGGCATAAAAAATGTCAAATATCATAAGTGACAAAGTTGTGAGTTTTGACGTGATTAAATAATACAGAAAACTTTGCTCTATATCACCTGGGCCAGGAATAGTTGCAGGTATCTATTGTTTGTGGAGAATACTAGGCAGCCTCCCTCTGGTACCCTGGAGTGGTGTTGACCTTCGCTAGTGAGTCCCCCCTGTACTTAGCCTTCAACACTGTCATCATCCCTCACCTCGCTTTTTTTCCCCTATTATTTCCTTATTATGAAAGTATGCGTGTTAGCACCCTGCCCTCCTGCCCCGCATTATGGTGGCAGGCAGGACACACCATCTCAACAACTGTGGTGATCTCGTAGTTGGGTTTGAGTTTCACTGTGTACATAAAACTCTGGTCTCGCACAGTACTGTAAGGCGAGTGTTGCCAGTGTGTACTTATCTTCTCTCCTGGAAACATTGAATCAAAATTTAACTTCTATCTCTTAGCTACAAGTTGACGTCGACCATGGAAGGTGACACGGAGCCCCCCCCCCTCCGTGTTACTATTTTGAAATTCAGTTTGATCAAGTGTAAAAGAGTCTCCATTCTTATAAACACTATCTATCGTCAAGGTGGCTGAGTTACAATACAATATTATGTCGAAAATGGACGTGACTGTTCCTCAGCATTACCATAGTTTTGTAATGTTTTATTCATGTCAAAGTGAATACTAAGTGTGGAGAGGATCTCGGAATTGGCCTGATTCAGGACGTGTGGAGAAAGTTGGTAAGCGTGAAAGATGGCGGACAGGTCCATAGTTGGCGAAAGATAGTGGTCCTCCCCACCCGTGCACCTCCACCCCACACCACCACACTCCTACACCCGTGCACCTCCTCCACACCACCACCACACTCCTACACCCGTGCACCTCCTCCACACCACTACCACACTCCTACACCCGTGCACCTCCTCCACACCACCACCACACTCTACACCCGTGCACCTCCTCCACACCACCACACTTCTACACCCGTGCACCTTCCCACACTCGTTATATCATCTGTATGTACTGTAGCCGGCCCCCACACCCTCAATAACTGGCGCCCTAAATCATGCGTATAAAGTAATAATACGTCCCTCGATAAGTTATTGGAGAGTAAATTTCGTCCCCAATACGCAGGCGGCGGGCGAGTTCC